AGTACGCGAGGGGAGGTCTCACGAGTGCCGAGTACAGGGGCATGATCCCCTCCTTCCCCCTGCTGCTCACATCATTTCTGATAGAGGCCAGGAAGCCGTTGGCCTTCTTGGCCACCTGGGCACACTGCTGGCTCATGTTCAGCCGGTTGTCCACCAACACCCCCAGGTCCCTTTCCGCCAGGCAGCTCTCCAGCCACACCTCCCCCAGCCTGTAGCGCTGCTGGGGGTTGTTGTGACCAAAGTGCATGACCCGGCACTTGGCCTTGTTAAACCTCATGCAATTTGCCTCAGCCCATCGCTCCAGCCTGTCCAAATCCCTCTGCAGAGCCTTCCTGCCCTCCAGCAGATTGACACTTCTGCTTAATTTCATGTCATCTGCGAACTTGCTGAGGGTGCATTCGATCCCCTCATCCAGGTCATTGATAAAGACATTAAATAAGACTGGCCCCAAAACTGAGCCCTGAGGGACTCCACTGGTGACCGGTCGCCAACTCGATTTAACCCCATTTACCACGACTCTCTGGGCTTGGCCATCCAGCCAGTTTTTAACCCAGCGAAGAGTCCACCTGTCTAAGCCATGAGCCGCCAGCTTCTCCAGCAGAATGCTGTGGGAAGTTGTATCCGACTGGATTCTGGAAGCTGTATCCGACTCGAGGTGCCTCAGCCTTCCAGACTGACATACCTTTTGGCAAATTCCAGGTAATCCCGTAGCTCTGACAAAGAGTAGATGTCCCCGAGGGGATTTTGAGGATTCAGAAGAATTAAGGCCCTTACGGTGACACCCTGCAGAACACAAATGACGCGGTATTACCAGAGTGCCCATCGTGGGATAAATTTTCAGTCTCTCTACTTGAGCAGTGAGTGTGGCACAAGATTCTGCTTAAGCTTCCACCACGACTTTCCGCCTCAGATTTGTATGAGAAAGCTTTTAGCCGCAAATTAAGATTTTTATCTTTTTTTTTTTTTTTTTTACAATTATATCACTTGCAAAGTGAACTGAGGAAAAGATTATAGAAGGAATCTATGAGGGAGTCTGCCAGAACCATTGACATCTAGTCAACCAATCGATGAGATGCTCTCACCCACTCTTGGCGTGGAAGAGAACTTTCTCCGAGCTCTATCAGTAATTAGGAAGCCACAAATTACTGAAGATTGCCCATGAATGAGGCAAGGAAGATAGGAATTGGAGCTATGTGGATGCAAACTGCTCTCACTTAGAGCACAATTGGCTGAAGATGTGAATAACGTGAAGCTAAACATACACCGGCCTTAGGACAACGTCAAAACTTAGAGACTAACTCTTCAGAAAGGTGATACTCATCAGCGTTTATCCTCTAGATTTGCACTTCTCCCTCTCCTGCAAAACTTCTCGGTGTTCTTAGTGGGTTCCTCTGCCCTACTGTGCAGAGCAGTCATTTTGGGGGTAATTCAGGTAGGAGAAACTGTGGGTAGTCCCCACTTTTTAGTGTGTGCCCAAGTACATTTTTTTTTTAGTGATATGAATGAGTTCTGATGCTTTGTGAATGGTCTGTTCTCCCGGTTTCTCTCTTTGGCTGTGACCAAAAATGGGACAGACAGGACATGGGGGGATTCCTCCTGAGATCCCCACTGAGTGTGCAACGCAGCTTCATCTCAGCTCACCTACAAGGACAGCTGGAGAGCCAGATGCAAGCTCTGGAAAACGTTTTGATCTTCAGGCAACTTCTGGGATGTGCCGTCTCGAGCGTATTGTAAACTTCACCGGTCACAGGAAGCTCAACTCACCTCAGCCCGGGAATCCTGCAAGGCTTTTTCCAGTTTTTCCACTGTAAGCTGAAAAGGCCGAGTGCTTGTTCCAGTAATCTGAAAGACACCACGAAGATAAAAACAGCCAGGTTATTTCAACAGAGTGTGCCTTGTGCCAGCACCTGAGAGATGTTCATAGAATAATAGAATCATAGAATGTTTGGGATTGGAAGGGACCTCTAGAGATCATCTAGTCCAACCCCCCTGCCTAAAGCTTTTGTTCTCCAGAAGAAAATAAAATGCCAACATTAATGACTACAGAAACCATCTTCTTACCCATTTATACTACTGAGAGAACCACTAAATAAATAAAATCAAGGAATGTTCCTCACAGGCTGGCCACACACAGAGAACACTCTGGTAATCCTTGAACAACTGAAACCATGCAAGATCTCCATCTGCTCTTCCAGCCCTAGGACCATCTTTAGTAGGACAGCACGTTCTTCTGTCTGCAAACCTCAAAATGGCCTTTTTTCCTCTCAAGAGCCATTACTGGGAACAAGATACAAGACCGAAATCCGGATTTATTGTCTCGAGCAACTTTTTTTTTGCAAATTATGTGCCCACTTTTCCAGCAACTGGGAAAATGTCCATGGGCTGCAGCCTATCCTCGTCCCGGGGACTGCTTTCAGAGGTCCCCAGCTCCAGTATCGACTGTTTCTGAATGACAGAGGCTGATATTCCCTTCCCTCAGATCTTACCTTACTGTCTAAATAGGCATACACCAGCTTGACGTTACCGTAGAGGAAGACACTCTGGGTAATGCTACCGTAAAAGGGAGTAGCAATCAGAACAGCTTCTGGAACCAAGGAGACAAAATTGGTTATCGACAGGTCCCAGTCCTGTTTTCTCTTCTAATGTACTTCAGCTAAACACAAAGCTTTTTAACAGCAGTGCCCTCTGGAAACACTGTAAAACTACTGGTTTTTCCTCTGCGTTAGTCTTACTTTAATTCTTTAATTTTCTACAAGAACCCCGGTAAAAGCGAGTATAGCCCGCATTTAGTCTAACCTACTACTTTGCTTCTGTCACGCGCTGTTTAAATGGAGTAATGCATCGCTTCCCACCAAAAATGAACATTAAAACCATCTCCCAACCATCCACTTACCCCCTGGATCACAAAGGACTGTAGCTAACGCAGAAAATAAAGAGCCGCAACCATTTAAAACAATTACCTACAGAGGAAAGAGAGAGCCTAGTGATAAATCCATCTGTAGAAAGATAAATGTGATAAAACAATAATTTCTGACTGTATCACTGAAATATATTTTCTCCCCAGTTCTCTAGCATGGATATTCCCAGGATTTTCCTGCTGAAATCCCACTTCTACTAGAAATAATTTCTATCCCATTCTTTCCTTCAGAGACACTTTGTCGCGACGCCGCTCTTGATTCTAACAAGGAATTTAGAAAAAGGATAGCCTTAAGGTAGGAAAAAAAAATGGGCGAGTGGTGCCGAACTGCCAGAAAAGCAAACTGCTCCTCATCAGCTAATACGTGTTATCGTCTCTGTGGGAACTGCAGCTCCTCCTGCCAAATTTCATGCAACACTGGAAACCACCGTCTTGTACAGGAGCGGGTTTGACTCCTGCACCCAGAAGACGGACACTCATGGGTCCTGTTCTTGGTGAAGGCTGAGGGACAGAGGTTCCGGAGCTGAGTAAGGAAATGAAAACATGAAGCCCCACCGAGAGCACCGGCATGAGGAGTTGGCACACAAAAGCATGAGGCAAATCTACAGTAGACCCGAAGCGTTTTGGCTGAAAAGCGCATCAAAAGCTGCCGAACTGGCTATGAATCAAGCTCATTTACATGACAAAAGGCTGTCATCACATCATTCGGTTAAAAAAAAAAACAGAAAAAAAAAAAGAAAGATGAAAACGTTTGACAACAAGCGGCAACACATTAGAATAGACACCAATGGAAAGTGGGTTACCCACATTTTCTGCCTTAAGAGGTGCAGGGGCCTTGCAGTAATAGGTCAAAAACCGAGCCACTTCCTCGCGCAGACTGAGAAAGACACAAAAGCAAATATCGATTCAGCTCGTTCTCCAAGAGGCTGGGCTTCCCCAGGTCCACATCTCAGGAAAATAAAGCCATGGCGCAGTAAAGTCTGAGGAAAACAGCTAGAAAACAGCATAGCTCAGGCCCATGCCCCAGCCGTGACTCCTGCACACGGCAAAGGTGTCACGGACGACGTCTGTCACGGCACGTACATTTCTGATGAGCTTTAATTGGGGCACGGAAGAGAAGGTTTAAAGTCCCCAAGCATTCACTCTGTTTCAAAGAACCATTTGGAGGCACCTAATTCGTTAATGCACACCGCGCTTCTAAACCTGCGTTCCCTTTAGAAAATTGGCATCTTCTCTCACATAAAACGACTGTTAGCTGGATGAACTGGTAGGGCAGCTAATTCACAGTTTTGCAAAGACCAAGTTGATTAAATGGTGTAGAAATTTTTCAGCTAGTGGTTTGTCCTCACCCGTTCTGCTTATCTGAGAAGCAGCCGACAAGGGAGAAGCGTTACAGAAAAGAGAAGACTTACAACATATGTCCCTTCCAGTCGGGATACTGAAGCAGTGGAGGCTCCATCAGGTTCATATCGGTCTGTGTCAGCTGGGAGCAATGTGAAGAACCGTTAGTTGCACATTAATTGCACTGACATCGGAAACACGGAGACAGATGGGATCCATGCACAGGCACACACCTGCACCGGCACAGACACACCTGCAACTTCTACGGTGGCAAAACTGGATTGAGAAAGCCACTGACCATCAGAACTAACGCGGCTTGGGAGAAGCAAGGACCAGCAAACCCATCGGGGGGATGTGAAAAACATGGGCTTGTGCTAAAGTTACCGCAGCCAAAACTCTGCTGCGAGGAGATCTACAAAAAAGGACGCGGAATGGGCAAGGCACATGATGCCCGTAACCGAGACGCCCACAGGAGACTTCCTCAGCGACTGAAGCGAGCCCGAGTCCCACAGAGAGCTTCGCTCGGGCTTTGGGGACAACAGCTTTTAGCTGCGAAGTAAGTCCCAGTTGTGAAAGCTCAGGTCTAGGCTGTCAGGAAGAAAGGGCTTTGAATCTCAGTCACATATGTATTTTCTTGAATGGGCTTCCAATATATTAATTTTTTAATGAATCCTAGCCTTCATTTTTGTCTCAGCTCCAAGTTACTGCAGCTCCTCTGGATCTAGAACTCTGATAAATTTTGGTAAGTGTTAAAGAGTAAAAGGAGCTTTCAAAAGACAGGAGAAAAATGAGATTATCTTATCGATAATTCTTCCCCAAGGCAGGCAGTTTATTCCTTATTGGGAGTTTCTTCTGATCTCAAAGACAGTCTTACCTGAACTGTGGAGCTCTTTTTAATGTTTCTGTTTAGATAAAGAATGCACATTGCTTTTTATCTAAATATTTTCAGGGTTGTAAATATCAGGGTTTTGCATAATCCAGTTTTATGAAGTTGCAAGCAGTGATAACAGCAGAGAGGGCGCGTTACGTAAACAAAAAAGGAATAAACAGGTATTACGTAGCATGTAGCTTCCCAATGTTTAATGGCAACCAAATCTACGAGTTAATATTAAAAAAGGTGAGGGTGGAGGGACACGCCATGGAGGTGACAGTGTACAGGAGGAGGGAAATCCAACATGCAGCGTGAAAGCTTTTCCCAGAATAACAAAACTGTGACGCCTGTACCAGTGCTTTAAAAACTGGTGATGAGCTCTGGAGTTTACAGACACTCCCCTTATCCCACGCAGAATTACAACCTGATATTACAGGATTAAAGTTCCTTCATTCAGCTGTAGATGTTCTTGAAGCCTACGGAGCACAGAACTGTGTCTCCTTAGGTCTCTCTCCTAAACCTACCTGGAGAACGCAACATAAAACAGATCAGCGGACTTGGCCAAAAATGACTATGCAATAACAAAGAGGAGAATCCTGAAAAGCCAATCGTTGAGGGCTGAGGAAAACAGACGGGCCAACTGAGATCCTGCGCCCCAAGCACTCTCTAATGTACGGGTCAAAAAAAACTGAAGACAGAAATCCGACGCGTTTCTTTACTCCGTAGGAACAGCAAGTAACAGCAACCAATCCCTCACCTACGAGCCGGCGCTGCGCTCTGCGAGGCCACGCCGCGACGCTCCCGGTGCTGGCAACAACGTCTTTGCTCAGCTTGTTGTCTCCCTGTAGCCGGCAAAGCCTTAACTCATTTTCCTAACCAGGCTAATTAAGACGCAGCTGGCTACCATCTCCCTTGGCGCTACTTACTGCAGGCTTGGCGTTAGTTTTAAGGGGAAAGGACAGCGAAGGAAGGTACCACCTACGCAGCCTAGAAGGCACGAGGTTTGGTGTGCAGGCAGCAGCTCTGCCTTACCTGTTCTTTTAGCTGGAAGGCAGAGTGGTGGGGTAGTGTCCCCCCGAGGCAGTGGAGTGGCAGGCAGAAATAAAATAAGGAACATTTTGAGGGTGGGAAGCCATGGAACGGGTGCAGCCACGAACTTCAAACCGCGCAGGGCAACCCCGAGCCGCCTTCCCCTCCCCACGGACAAGGAAATATTCCCCCCATGGCACGGTTCTCCTGCTTTCTTCCGACTTTTTTTGAGTCGTGCCGTGGGTTTTGTGCCTGCCCCTCGTGCAACTGAACAAATTAAGCAGGTAGCAGCTGACTCGGTCTGATTTGGAGAGACTTCAAGAGCTGCCACCCTCGCCCATCTCGGGTAAATTCAGAACTGAGAATCTGACACTTTACAATGGAGATCCTTGAAATTAAATACAGAGTTCAACATTCATTTCAAAACCTCTCTATGAGATCGACGGCTGTCAGCAGGACAAAATGAAATGCATCTTATTCTCGTTTAGCTTTCCGAGCCAAGCACATCCCCAAAGGGAAACCCATCATGAAGAACAGAAAAAACACCCTCGTGCCTATCCTCCTGGGAAAATAAATGTACCAAGAGCTGGATGCAGAAGCGACTTCAGACAAATAAAAAATTCACCACAAAAAGCTTTACCAGGGCAAGCTGAGCAACAGCAACGACTCTAGGAAAGGGCAAGCACTGAGGAGGAGCTACACAGCAAATTCAGGTTTGCTTTTTTGGAACAAGACTTACCCGCTTAGACATCAGGTCAAAGCAGAGTTTATTCTCACTGGTGCCAAAGTTTATTATGCCCTAGAAAAAAAATAATTTCTTGTTTACAGAGACAAAAAATACGTGCGTATATCACCTTCACTAACTTGCCTCCATAAAACAATTCCTAGAAAACTGAGATTTGTCCTCCCGCAGTAGTTTTAAACAGGTTTTGGATACGTTTGTTTGTTTTTTTAATCTAAGAGCATCTGTTTATCAGTTGTTACCATTCCGCTCCGCTGATTTACTCAGAAACCACATAAACACGTCGTCACGAGAAGCAGCCAAGACACTCCATCGTCCCCTCTGCAGGGCGGCCCCTGCGGTTCGAGGTTTAGTCTTTGGCCCCGGTTATTTAGCACTACCTTAGATCTTGAAAAGTTTCAATGTACTGGCACGTTTTCATTATTGGAACAGGTTGCGTAAATAAATTTGGAACAAGGTGAAAGGAAATCTAAGCGACCATAGGTTTATGGCAACAGAAGAGGCAGTTTGTTCCTCATAACACACCTTGCTTTTCTAGCTTAAAAATCTAGTTTTCACCTCCCAACGCAGCGTGACTGAAGTCAGGGCTAATAAAAAAAAAACCCACCACATTTTAAAAGTTTCAAGTAGCTCAGTACCTGAATGCAGAATCTATTTTAAAGTAATCCACACTTCTATAGAAATTATTTGCCATGAAGCACTAAGTCTCAGCCAGTGCCACAAGGGGGGTATGATGAGCTACTTACAACTGAGCAGCCGAGTGTAATCAGGCAGAAAAAGTGCCGAATGTGACTTAAATTTATTTTCTTTTAAAATAAAAAAGTCTACTACTTAACCCATCACCTGCAATAATCAGATATAATCAGAGATGGTCCTCAGCAGGCAGCAGAAGTGATGAGGTGAAAGGAGGAACGGGAGCTCTGCTCATTCCTGCGGATTTCTTAATCTCTTCCAAAGTCTACTCCTGCTACTATTTCCCCTCCCCATGGGAAATCAGGGCGCACAAACCTGTGCTGAACGCAGCGCTCGTCTTTGATCTATAGGCGATCTGCAAAGCTTTTTATTTCTCTTCCTCAAACAAGCAGCAAGATCAAAAAAATACCACCAAGCTCACTTCTAGCCTATCTGTCGGCACACCTCCAAGGAAGGGTTTTTTTCCTAGCAAGAAAGCCAGAGGAACACCCTGAGGCTCTCACTCACGTTGGGGTTCTTGTCTTCATCGTACTTGTCGGCGTGATAAGCTTTGTACCCCTCCTCAGTGGAGCCACGGAAGATGTTGGCGATGTTGCCGCGAGCGGAGAGGTAAGGGCTCCTCTGGAAGTCACCAGGGTTGCAGTAGCTGTGCAGGTCAAACTTTCTCTGGGTAAGCGGTCGAGCCCTCATCTCTTGCAGGTCACCCCCTCCTCCTCCTCCTCCTCCCATCCCCGCAATTTCGGACAGCGCCTGGCTGAAGTCCAAGCCCCGAGGCACCGCGATGGAGGAGGAGGAGGAGCCGCTGTGGTTCTGCTTGAGGATGCTGAGCATCTGGGCGAAGACGTTGAACATGCGGAACTCGTGCTCCCGCTCCAGCTCGAACCTGCGCTGCTCCAGCTGCATCCGTCGCTCCTCCGCGTCCAGGTCGCGCTGGAACCGGCGCTCTTCCATCTGCAGGAAGCGCTCCTCCATGGCCCGCTGAGACGTCAGCGTCTTCAGGAGGAGGTCGTCGAGAGGGTCCTTCACGCGCTGGCCTTTCCGCTTTTTTCTCAGCCGATGCAAGGCGGAGAAGCCTGGTCGGGGAACCACGTTCTGGATCCGTGACGAGTTTGCCATGCTGGGCTCACTGAAACCTGCCGGACACGGAAAAGCAAGGAAAGGAAAATGAAAAGTGCAGCAAGTAAAGCGGTACAGGCGTGCTTTGCCGCCTGCCCCGGAAACACGCTTCGATCTGGTGTGGGGTTTTGTGGGAAAACCAAGGCAAAACCTGCCTGGCACATCTCGAAGTCTGCGAGTTTTGTTGAGGCCTGTGTTTTAACTTCACAGATCAGGCACGCCACTGTGCTGCCCACCCCATGCCCAGCCTCTGAATTAACCTGAGGGACAGTCAGTTCCCTCTCCTGGGCCACAACGGCGAAGAGGACGCAGGGTTTCTTCCTGATCTCAGATGTTAACCTCACGCTGGTTATCATCTCTTGCCCCCTCCAGCAGCCTGGTCTGAAATCCCCAGGATTTCCAGACCGTGCTCTTCCCAGCAGCCCAAGCAACGGCCAGCTGAGCTTTCCGCGCAGGAATCCCATCCCTGCTATGCCAACACGCTGCTTCTGCCAGCGACTTTCAGAAACATCTTCTTTCCAAGCCCCGTTGCACAGCTCAGAAAGCCAGGCAACAATCGTTCCCAATTATTCTTCGCGGCTGAGTGGCCTAAAAGACTAGATCCAGAAAACGTCTTAAAAGAAAGGAAGGAAAAGTTTCACCTGCAGGTTTATAGCGTAGCCGTGGCAGAAGAGGGTCTCCAGCATGAGGACCACGGACAGCCCTGGCGACGTTCAGATGACACCAAAAAGAATTCCTTCTTTTTTTTTTTCTTAAAATAAGGTTAAGTACTCTCAGAAATCTAGCAGAAATGCCTAGCCCGGCTCGTGGCAGACACGCCAGCCCTTGGGGTGCCATACGCTGTGTTTAGCCTGGCACAGTAAGTTCACCTTTTATTCACCCGCAGCAAGATACACTTCGAGAATGGCCAGAAGACCATGAACACCGACACCAGCCTTCTATTTTAAAGCTTTCTGGGCCACGGGGAGGCGGGGGGAAAGGTCGATGTGAAAATGAGGTGTCTACCAGAAAAAAAACGGGGCCGGTTACCTCAGTGGGTTGAGCGCGATGCTGACAACAATGACAACACTGAGGTCACGGGTTCGATTCCCGCTCGGTCCCCATGTGTTGCCTGGTCTAGTCGAGAGGTGGCGTCCCTGCCCATGACAGGGAGGTCGGACTAGATGATCTCTAAGGTCCCTTCCAGCCTAGGCCATTCTA